TGGAAAATAAGTGGAACCTAACCTTGGAGTCCTTGAGACATGAATCTTATCTCGGGCGTCACTTTGTTATAGCTCCTCTTACGAACCCTACTCATTATATGGACTATTTGGCGACTTTAACGCCCAGGTACTTGGTGGAAAATTTCGTGCCTACTCCTGGTTACAAAGGTTCTGCCGACCCCTTTAATTACATCAACCTTCGCATGTCTTGATTCATGCTTCCGTGCTTCTCCCGCTACGGTACGGGACGATTTCAGAAGTGAGATGCCTGTCGACTGATCGCCACGAGGTCTGTGAAACCCCCCCAAGAGATATCTTACGTGATTTACATACTAATTTAGATGATGGTTGCTGGTAAGGAAGAAAACAGAAATATTTATCAGGAATAAAGGTAGCAGAAGGAAAGAGTAACAAAGAGCAGGGACTGTCCACTTGAAGTAGATACCGGGTACAGTGTAATGCCATTGATGTAAGTGGTATTACCATAGCGGCAAGTGAACTTATTTACTCATCGTGAAATGTCAGAATTTTTTGGGTTATCTAAAATTCTCTTCCCTGTGCTGCTATGTATGATAATTATAACTGTTTTGTGTGTACCTGAATGAAACTTCGAACCCGAGATGGGATGGATGACGGCAGCAGAGCTCAGTTTGGTTCTTCCTGTTTAAAAGGAATAGCATCTTATCACTTTAACCATCTAGGTTTCTTAAGGTGAATGAGTTCGATTAAAGGTGTATTTCCAGTGGATAATCTTACAGGTAATCTTGTGCTTCTGGACTTAATGCGAGCCTTCATAACAGTTCCGATTCTAAACAAATTGGAAGTTTAGCACGACAGTAGCGGAGCTAAATATCACTGAGGTCAGGAGAATTGCCAGCGTGTCCCAGAGTTGCCTCAAGCTTGGAAATGGCCGGGTACCGAAGAACTTTCTATTTTTTTTCCCTGTTGTAACCCCTTGATTGCTGGTGAGGGCTCTTGATCTAGGAAATTGGATCTGTGACTCCAGTTCCAGTTCCCTGAACTGAGCCTGAATATTTTTCCCTCCCCCCCCACAATCCCCCTCCCACTTCCTGTATAATCCTGTTGTAGGCTTTCTACCTAACTTCTGCCGTCTGTTAATTTTGTAAGGAATAAATTTCAAAAAATTATAATCAGCCCTCCAAACCTCGTTATTGGGGGCACTAGTTCTCTTTTATACAATAGTTATCATCGGAACATACTGAAATTTTTTCCTTGTGCTGATTTTTCCAAATTTCTTCTGCAATTTTTTTTTTGCTTCGACTGCACTTTGATACCATTTTTTTGTTTACTATGATGCTGCTTAAAATGGAATAGATAACCTACCGAATAGTGGAAAAATAGTGCCTCGACTAATGCTAGTGGAATAAATTTAAATTGTTCAGTTTTTTCTAATTTTAAATTCCAGGGCTGTACCATTCCATTTTTGTCCCGGTTTTAACATTTCCGAGGAGGGGATGGGAGAAACCTTTGTCTCTTAAGTCATATACTTTAATGCATTTTTGTTGACGCTGATTATTTTAATTAACCTACAAAGTATTGGTTTATTTTTTATTTGCAGTTGTGTATTAAATTCTCGATAATTTTTAAGTGATGAAGTATCGTGTAGATTGATGCACATTTAACACGGGGAACTACACCGTAGGAAACTGTAGTCCGCATTAGTTTAAGGCAACATTGGAAGGGATTTTTCTTTAAAGGTATTTTCACTTTTAGTCTTGCTAGTGATTTGCCAAGGGTACTTCAGTGTTGCTTTGTCGCCATGGAATGTTGAAATTAAGCCAGTCGCGGCTTTTTCAGTGAGGTTACCTAGCCTATAAATGCAACAGCGGACGAAATGGTTTGTTTACAATCTTGATTCATTTTTCAGGTTGGTTCGCTTTTCTGCTGGTAGCGACCTGCACGAGGCTAGGTACTTGAGTGATGCACTTGAAGATGAGGTGAAGGAGGCAGGACAGACGTACCCTGGCCAGGACAACAAACACCGTTGGAAACGTTTCTGTACAGGCAGATATTTTTCCCGGAGTATTGGCACCTCGATCACAGTTCCCGATTTCCGCCATCTTGAAAGATTTGAAAAATCTGCAAATTTTTGCCTTCTAGGCATATCTGATGGCTGACCTTAGTGGTCGTTCAGATTTTTTCCCAGTTTTATAGATTTTTGTTAATCAAAGTAAGACCTAGTTCGATCACTTGCCAAATTTTAACTTTGATCCCATCAAGTTTGTTAAAGCTCCTTCATTAATCCAGGAATTCAGATACTAAAGATCAATGTTAGGACATTGTTTCCTGTTAAAAAAGAGCTTTAAGTTTTTAGTCCAAGAGTCACAAAAAAAAACTGGGTATTGATACATGTTTCAAGTTACTGAGATTTTTCCCAAACATCATTCTTAATATCTTTTACGTATTTTTGAGACTACATTATTGAAGGCTGTGCATCTTCTAATTTGAATTAGCTCTGTACTAGATATAAAATGTACCCATGAACTATTAAAAAACTTTGTATTTAGTTTTTCCTGCCTAACTAGTAATTGCATCGATTAAGTCTACTATAATACTGGGTGAGCTTCCCTAAATGCGAGGTTCTCCTTCACGAGTTTCATATTTCATTTCTTTTAAAATAACAGCCTTTTCTTTTTTAACCTCTTTATGCATGGGTTCTCCTGATATTCTGATTTAAACTTCTTGGTTGAGGAATTGTTTTTCCTCCGAACTATTATTAAATCCATTTCCTTCCCTTCCCCATCCTCATTCTTCATATTCCTCCTTCTTTCCTGTTTGAGCCTTTGGGGTCTTCTCTTCTGGAATTTTAGGCTCCAGGATTGGGAAATGGTGTTGTCCGTACCATTCCGTTGAGGGGCCTTGCGGCTGTGATGCGTCTATGGCATTCCATCCTGAAAACCCACCTCCTTGTCCTAAAGAGAGGGGCCTTTCTTGCACTATGGAAGTTTCCCATTCCACCTCTGAGGAGGACTTTCACGGAATCTTTTTTCCAGACGACCCCAGACCAAATGTTGCGCCCCTGCTTCTCAATTTTCCTGTCCTTACTTGCGCAGTCAACTGTCCACCTTTTACCGTCCAACCAAAGTCTCGCTGTCCCTTACTTCATCTTCCGACTGCATGTTTTGACGTCCATACGCCCCCTGCCAATCTAAATGAACACCACATACTCGTCTCCGAAGTTAACCTTGTCATTTAGTCCAAACGACTCCATCCACCAAACATGACATTCACAAACTTTATTCTCTCCTGTCTCAGTCTCTCTACATTAACATCGAAATGCATCTGAATGCTCCTCAGTCATTCGCGCACTCGCTGCCTCTCTGTAAAAATTTCTGCCTACCACTCTTCTTCACTCATGGGTTCTCTGGAGAGGCCCTGTCCCTCTCTGGAGCAGTGTCAAGTTTCAGTATCGATTAGCCACATTCTGTTAGACTGCCCTCTCTATCAACGAGCACGCAGAATTTACCTCCAACGTCGTCTTCGTTCTACTACTCTCTCTTTACCTTCCCTTCTTGCTGTGGACCCCCCTTTAATCCTGACTCTCTCATTGACTTCTTGACAACGACTGATTTACTCTACAAACTCTGATGATACTTTTCGCACTCCCCTCAGCCCTTTCTAGTTCAGTCTCTTGCTGCCCTTTACCCTTTCACCATCCACTGCCCCGCTGTTATCCGTAACCTATTACTCATCCATCTCCCTTTTGCCACCTGATGCCCTCGCTTCCTTCCTGCCCTGCAGCGCTGTATAGTCCTTGTGGCTTAGCGCTTCTTTTTGATTATAATAATAATAATAGCACATTTGTAGTCGCCTAATCTTTACTCACCCTCCTGCTATCTAAAATATCGTCCCACATACAACGTCCTTGTCCTCTGAAGCTCGTTAAGCTATCTCTGACTATATTGAGACTGAACCATTGATGGACATTGATCCACCTCCTGTCACTACTCTTTTACTCTTCTCCACCTATGCAACTGGTTTCTTCACAGCTTTCCAACCCTCTGCTGCTTTTCAGTTTTCTGCTGCCTCCACGTGTGAACTTTTCTGACCCTTCTAGTCCTTAGAAACCTTCATACTTCTTATACCGTTCTTCGCAAATCGTGGCTTCTTTACAGTGGAATATCCAAGGCCTCTGAGGTAACCGGGTCAGCTTCGGGTGTTGCTCTCCCAGTTGTCAGTTCGTGCTTGTTTACAAGAACTCAAATTATGCTCTGCTGTTATCAGTCTCATCTCAGGCTGCTTTATTATATTCATCGGATGTTTTTCTCGATGGAACCTTTAATGACTGCACTTCTTATACGCACTAGAATTCAATACCACCAGCGTTTTGTTCATACTTCGTTGCATTACACTGCAACACGCATCTACTTGAATGTGGTATACAGTCTGTTATATGTATCTCTTCTTTCTCTGGTGCTATTTATCCCAGATGTTGAATTTCTGGTTTCTTCCTTACTGCCGCCACTTACGTTACTCGGCGATATTAATGCTCACCGTTTCCTCTGAAGGGGTTTCAGTGACTCTCGTGGCATTCAAGTTTTAAATAAGTAGTCCCACCCATTTTGGCCCTTGAACTCTTGCTACAATCTGTCTCTTCCTCTACTGCACAAAACTTGACTTGTTCTGTGCTCCCGGACGTGTAGGAGTGATCATTTTCCAATTCTTTCTTATTCGTATTGATCGACCTCTCGTCGCTCACGCTTGCAATTTGACAGCACGCTGGGACCAGTACTCATGTCAAGCTGCTTTTAGTGAGGGTCCTTCATCCTCCATTGATAAGCTGTTACATCTATTCTCAACCTCCGTTTAAATCTCAGGCAGAGACTCTCAGGAATGAGTACTTTGGTGGTCTCCTGCCTGTGCTCGTGCAGTATGTTTGAAACACGCTGCATGGGATGGATATCAGTACAATACGACAATAAAGTGCCTCCTTGATTTTAAGTAGAAGAGAGCAGCTGCCTGCCGTGTCAGTCGTGAAGTTAAACGCTCTTGGTGGTGAGATTGTTTCTAGTCACTTCGGCTTCCTCTTGAGTGCAATCTGGAAAAAAGTACGGAAACTGAATGGCAAATACGCTACCGACCCGGCTCCCGTCCTTCGGGTTGCCACCAAACTTGATCATGTTCGTATCTCCCAGGGGCTCCATCTCTGCCCCTCGTTTCTTTCCTCCTAAACTGCCAAAGTTTAAGCTCTTAACTTTTCTTCTAGTAGAGAAGTCTTATAATATGAGTTTTACACTAAAAGAATTAGTCAACACTCCGCTTGCCAGGCTGGGCTGGACGGAATTCATAACTGTGTGCTCCAGCATTTACATCAGTCATCCAATATGATTCTCTTAAGACTCTAATCTTATTGGGTGGCAAAGCTTTCTTTCCCAGTTGTGGAAATCTATTGTACTGCCTTTTCGTAAACCAGGTACTTCGGGACTTGACTCCTCCCACTATCGTCCCATTGTTCTTCCCGGTGCATTTTGGAAGGTGGGAATGTCTGGTAAATAGAAGTTTGATGTGGTATTTAGAGAAATCTCTTCTAGTGAATATGGTTTAGATACATATATACATAATGCCTTTGCTAATAACCACTAGGTTATCGCCATCTTTTTGGATCTTGAATCCTCTTCAAGGGGGGCTCCTTGGCGTGGTGAAGAGGCTCTTGGTCTGAGGAATTAGCCCTGTCGGTCTTCTTCCTCAGACCGAACCTAATTACCCCCCATTCTCCCCTCCCCTATCCCATCCTCCCCCTCCTCCTCACCCCTCCCTTTTGCCCTTCCTCTTTTTGGCCTTTGGGATTTCTCCCACAGGCACGCTAGTTCCTAGGTAGGGGAAAGGACACCGGGGTCCATCCTTCCCATTCCATTGAGGTTCTTGGCGGTGGCGTAGTGTGCCGTGGAATCTGGATTGCCTGGGGATGTCCCGATCCCTCTCCGGTATCCCGGAGTAGATTTGGGTGTCTTTCGGGCGACGGGTGTATCTCTGGAAGCTACCTTTCGGATTCCGGGGGTGGTGGCCGAAGGAGGTATGCTTTGTGGCGGATATCCGGCCGCCCTCTCTTTTGTCCACCGAGGTAGCTCGGCAGATGCGAGGTTGCTATCCCGGATTGCTGGTTTACTGGCATGAAGGGTAGGGTATGGCACGGGTTCCATGCTGCATCTGCGCTACTAGCGGTGTTGAGGTCCTCTTGGGTGCAGAGGGAGATTTCCAGCCCTTTCATTCCTCCTGGGAACTATTCCTCCCCGCTCCCCCCTTTTTTTATTCATTTTTTTTATTTTCTTTCTTTTTTTTTTTCTTAAAAACAAAAAGCAAAGGAGTAACCTAACCATGGCAGCCCTAGTCCATGAACCCACTACTCCCGGGCCCCTTCTTGATACCGCACCCCATTCTGACCCTGCCTTGTGTTTAGACCACTCTTCGGACACTCCTGATGCCCCTGTACCTCTTGCTGGCGCTGTTTCCTCACCCGCTTCAGGTACCGGGACTTCGACTGACTCCTTCGATTTGTCTGTACTCCGCTCTCCTTTGACTATGCTTCTGGCTTCTCCCTCTACGGTACGGCAATTTTCGAATCGCCCGCCCATTTCACGCCGGACCAACTCCGGTCCTACTCCTAAATGCCAACATCAATCTCCTGATGATGCTCCTTCGTTACCTTCCCATTCTACTCGGAAAAGACCGACACGTCAAGCACTCCCTCTCCACGCTCAGTTTCGGACCACACAATGGACTAAATTCTTTACTTTAAGACCGACTTCTTCTTCTGCCTACCTTTCTGACCGTAGTATTGGCAAAGCGCTCCTGCATCATGTTGGTAGAGATATTTCATTTCATGCTCTCAAGAGTGGTATGCGCATCGTCACTGTCCAGAATGCTGCCCAACCTCTTGATCTTTCTCTCCTTTCAAATATCGATACTACTCCTGTCACTATTGAAAAACATCTTTCTCTCAATTCTTGTAGTGGTACTGTCATTCTGCCCCATACCATAGTCCAACAGAATTTCCAGTCATGTGGCAATGACATTTTTGAACAGCTGGAAATCCAGGATCTCCCAGTCTACCCTCTACCAGGATACACAGCAATTCACAACTGCAGACCAAACCAAGTTGGGGGTGGTATTGCAATCTATTACTCTAACCAATTATCTTGTCTTAGCCCCACTTGCTTTAGTGATGAATATGGGGAATACATTTTTGCTAATTTTACTGTAAAAAACCTTAAGACGCCTATAACAATCGGTGCCATTTACCGGATACCTCACACAAACATCCCAAATTTCATTGAGAAATTAGTCACTAATAACAAACAGACAAATGAATAAGCACCACCTTCTCTTAGCTGGAGACTTCAACATCAACCTTGGCTTACTAGATGATCAGCCTGTAAAATGATTTCATCAACAATATGAACAACACACTTCTCATACCAACAATAACTAAACCAACCAGGCTCACTGAGACAAGTGCAACCATAATAGACCACATATGGACCAATATACTAGCCCCCCTTAAATCAGGGATAATCACAGATAGCACTACAGACCACTACCCTACCTTCCTCCTGACATCCATTAGTAAACCACCACTTGAATACAACAAAGTCTCATTTAGACTCCATGACGAGGCCTCAGTAAGGAAGTTCACAGCTGACCTAGACTGTTGATTGGCCTACAGAATTCTCCAAGGCCAATGGTATTGATGACTGGACAGACATTTTTCTTAACAAATTACTTAGACTATACAACAAACATTGTCCTATAAAAACAAAACAGATCACAAATGGCTTGGTTGCCCATGGCTAACCAGCACCATTCTGAAATCCATTGACAAGAAACACCAATATGAAAAGCAATATAGACAGGGCTTAATACACAGGTATTCTTAAACACTATTCATCAGCTCTCACCAAAGTAATAGTGGCCCGGTGGTCTGGTGGCTAAAGCTCCCGCTTTACACACGGAGGGCCCGGGTTCGATTCCCGGCGGGTGGAAATTCCGACACGTTTCCTTACACCTATTGTCCTGTTCACCTAGCAGCAAATAGGTACCTGGGTGTTAGTCGACTGGTGTGGGTCGCATCCTGGGGGACAAGATTAAGGACCCCAATGGAAATAAGTTAGACAGTCCTCGAAGACGCACTGACTTTCTTGGGTTATCCTGGGTGGCTAACCCTCCGGGGTTAAAAATCCGAACGAAATCTTATCTTATCTTAATAAAGAAAGCCAAACAACTATACTACTCCAGTAGATTCACAGACACTAGAGGAGATATAAAAAAGACCTGGAAAACACTCTCTCTGATTCTAGGGACCCACAAACTGAGAAAAACCAAGAATATTGTCCTAACTAAACCTAATGAAACACCACTACATCCCACTGACACAGCTAACAAGATAAACGACTTCTTCTCAACCATAGGATCTAATCTTGCCAGTAAAATCCCACATACCAATGCCCATGCCAGCGACTACCTAGATGGGAAAATTTCCCTAATTCCTTCTATCTTCCCACCAACTGAGCCCACGGAAGTCACCGAGATTATAAAGTCACTTAAAAGGAACTCGGGGAATCTGTCTCATGTCCCACCATTACTGTACAAGCGAGCGGCCCATGTCCTCTCGCATGCTATTTCATTACTTTTTAACAAGTCACTAGAGACTACACCTTCCCGAAACTACTCAAGGGGCAAGGGTTACACAAATACATAAAGGTGGTGACCCTACAGACTTAAACAACTATAGGCCAAAATCTAAACTTACCATTGCTATCCAAAATCTTTGAGAAACTCGTGCACAGGAGACTGTATTCACTTATAACGGCTCAAAACATACTCAACTCCTGCCAATTTGGATTCAGGAAAAATAAAAGCACTAATGATGCAATCATAAAAATACTAGATCTGCTTTACACAGCATTGGAAAATAAGGAATATCCACTGGGAAATTTTTTAAATTGACCTAAGAAAAGCTTTTGACACAGTAGACCATGACATCCTACTCCACAAACTTGATCATTACAGTATAAGAGGCCATGCGCTTGCTTGCTTCAAATCTTACATTACTAATAGGTATCAGTACGTCACCATTAAAGACACAGCATCAGCAACACGGCCACTTGATACTGGAGTTCCGCAGGGAAGTGTCCTTGGTCCCCTGCTCTTCCTCATATACATCAATGACCTTCCAAACGTATCCCAACACCTGAAACCCATTCTCTTTGCTGATGACACGACTTATGTCATCTCTCACCCTAATCTTGCCACCCTCAACACCATTGTGGCTGTATAGTCCTTGTGGCTTAGTGCTTCTTTTTGATTATAATAATAATCAACACCATTGTGAATGAGGAGCTGATTAAAATATCGACTTGGATGACGTCCAATAAACTTACGCTTAACACTGACAAAACCTACTATATTATGTTTGGTAGCAGAGCAGGAGATGCACAAATTAACATTGATTGACAACACTCTAATTACCAGAAATAATGGGGGCAAATATCTAGGCTTATACCTTGACAACAACCTGAATTTCAGCACCCATATCCAGCATATAACCAAAAAACTACCCAAAACGGTTGGGATCCTCTCCAAGATACGATACTACGTGCCGCAAAATGCCCTTCTCACACTATACCACTCACTTATTTATCCATACCTCACCTAAGCTATTTGTGCTTGGGGATCAACTGCAGCAACACACCTAAAGCCAATAATATCCCAACAAAAAGCTGCAGTAAGAATAATCACTAAATCCCATCCCTGGCAACACCCCCCCCCACTCTTCATAGACCTAAACTTACTCCCAGTTCAGTACATCCACACTTAACTGTGCAATCTACATCTACAGGGCCTTAAACTCAAATTTATAAACCCTTTGACCTAAAACGCTTCTTGATTAGTTGTGACAGAACCCACAGGCATAACACCAGACACAAACATTTTAAACGACATTCCCCGTGTCCGACTAAACCTTTACAAAATTCAATGTATGTTAAAAGGGCCCTAAAAATCTGGAATACCCTAACCTGAGAACTCTAGAACTGCAGACACATTCAACACCTTCAAAACAACCATTAGAAAAACTTTCTTATCTCCCTGATACACCCCTCAACTAACTACACGAATACCACCTGGTGGTTCACACACACACACACTCACTCATTTGACCATAAACAGAAATATTA